TAGATAGATAGATAGATAGATAGATACATAAATTAATACATAGATATAGAAAACATGGATGTTTCCATTTATATATATTAAATCTGAAATGAACATTAAATAATTCTCAAAAATTGAATAAGTTAAATTTAATGTTAAAATAGTTAAAATATAGACTCACAGGAAGTAATATTCATGTAACACAATTGCGTATCCATTGGAAAAGTGTACAAAAGCATTGAACATGCTAACTTCATATTATATCTGGAAAATAATAACATACATTCACGCATTATTTTCTTCTTTTTTTTTTTTGAACATGAACTGGTTTTTTATTTCTTATAAAAAATTTTGTCTCTCTAGAAGCTCATATAATAAAGTACAGAATATTAATATAAAGGTTTTTTCAATAATGAAGTAATGGGGTTTTTTTTTCATTTATAAGGGTTTGACAATTATGTATCCCTACATGTGTAAAGTTTATAAAAATTCTAATTGAGCATGCATTTTTTACCCTTAGATGCCCAACTGGGGGAGGATATTTATTCCGTGCGAGCGCAATAGATATCGGGAAAAAAGATGGCGATTAACCAAAAGAAATTCTTTTCACTTCATCTTAGTGGATTTCAAAATGACAATTAGAAAACAAAGTAAACAATCAACTCATTTCCCTTAATATTAATAAATAATAGAAGTTTCTTAACTACTGATTTCGTTTTAGAGCTCATAGCGAGGGAAATATCTAGTGTCTGACGAGTTATCAGATAATTAAAACGAGTGAGTTTTATTACGTTTGCTTTTTATATTAAAACACGAAATTTTTTAAAAACATATTTAGTTAATTTTAACTTAGTTTTATTATTATTTTAATTATTACTAGTGGGCTGCGCCCCCTGCAAGTTAACGCTCGCCAACCCCGAAAATTGCTACGCAATCTTATATGGTTTGCTTCGCTCGCTACTAACTTAGGTACATTGCAAATGCACAAAATTCTAAGAATTCAAAACAATCATTCAAATCCATATAAAAACATTTTTCTTTCAAAAATTACATCTTTTTAGTAAATACTAAGTAATATAAAATAAATTTGAATTCAAATAAATGACGGTGGAAAAGAAATACAGCCAAAATTTAAGAGAATTATATATATTAGATTATTGGACAAAAATTTCAGTAACTATATAACTAAATAAACCGTCAATCGTGTTATGTTAGTAAATTTAATTTTAGGTTTGTTTCTTCAGATATATTTCCGTATCTTAATTTGTCATTAAAACTGCAATCACCAAGGCAACGAATGGAATTCTTAAAATTTAGAAAAAAACATAATGTTTGATTTCTTACGTATAATTTATTGATTTATTTTATTTTATTTTTTTTTTTGTTCATCTCTACTTTGAAATTGTCAAAGCTTGGCGATTATTCTGCCGCTGGACATGATATGGAAATCTTCCCAATTTTTCATTCGTAACATTTATTAAAGATAATCTAATAACAAAACGGGAGGAAACAAATAGAGAACAGGAGAGTTTTCCGATAGTTTTGTTTGTCAAAAAAGAAATTTTTGGGATATTTAGAAGAAACACCCTATTTTTAGCTGTAAAAACTGAACCATGAAGCATTAGTTTAAAAAAAGAAAGTGACTGTCAGAGAGATTAAAACACTAAGCTTCTGGATGGCAATTCAGAACCGTTTTCACTATATTTGAAGCTTTAACGTTTTTTCTAATCCTTATATTTACTACGTAATTATAAAAAAATTGATATTTGTGCACAATATAGATCATATATTTATATGGTAGATTAAGTTATTTAATAAAAATTTAAACAGAAGTTTATCTTTTAAGTAATTCATGTTTCTTTCTATATAACTATTTGTTTCTAATACAATGTTTTTAGAGATAAACCGAAATTTGATAAAAAGTGCAACTAAAATAATTATTTATAAAACAATAAATATAAATGAATTAGTTACTATTAATATTTATTTTAATTAATTTAATTATTTTAAAAGTATTTAAAAGCTAAAACTGAACTAAACGTGCAAGTGAAAAAGCGTTTACAATAATTCATTACATGGCTATTTTTGATAAAACACAGCAGGTTTTTAAAAGCAAATAAAATTCAACAAATTACAACATGTATGAGCATGCATATATTAAACGAAATTAATATTAACCTTTACAACCTTTAATTATAAATGTACTAGATTATTAAACGTTAATGTATTTTTCTTAAGCTTGTTCGCTTTCACTCGAAAGGAATATTTACACAAACAATAATTCTTTTAAATTTTAGGAGAAAATTGAGTGCATTATATCATTTTTATTAAATACTAACCGCCTAAAGCGGCCAGCTGTCCGCCACGATATGTGCCGAGTTCCGTGCCTGGGCGAGGTTTCTGGGGCAATATATTGTAATTACAGACAGACAAACAGACACACACACAGCCGCGTTTATTATTATGTATAGAAAACGAGGTTAACCATATGTTTCGAAAAAGTTATTTTTCGCCATGTGTGTCCTAAATTATACAGTTACTAGTTCCTCTACCAGGCTTGCCAGATTATCTTCTTGTTTAATTTGGTTATTGTTAATAATGCATGGAGATTACTCAGCTTTGCCCCTTTCGTATTAAAAGAAACAAAATAAAATATAAATCAACTTGTACCAAGAAATTACTTACTAATACTAATAAATCATAAACATTCAAAGTAAAATTTTAAAAAAATAGATTTCATACTTTTCCCGTTTGTCTTTTGATATTGCATGCAAAGCCTAGGTAAAGTGTGAGAAGTTTAAACTTTTTTATACTTAGGCGGTGATTATCGGCATTGTATGCAATGTCGGATTTTCAACTTTGTCGTTAATCTATACATACCTTGCATAATGGTGTAAATAACCATATTTGTGCACTTGAATCACGTCGTTAGGAACTGAAAGTTGATAGATCCATCCCCCTTTAGAATCTTCAAATATGGTATCTGGCTTCCATATTTTATTGTGTAATTCTCTTGGTATGTGGGAACCTACCTCCATAGAAGAATAGTTCAACCTAAGATCTTTCCAATATTCGTTTATATAGAACTGCATTGAGTACTCCTGAAAACAAATTATTCTGATTTTATTATAAGCGGTGAATTAAGACTAATGGTAACCGGCCAACCCCCGAAGGAGTTAGCGGATAAGGGTTTCACCCGTTGTCACGTGAACTAAACACTGCAAAACTACAGAAACGTAAAATCAAAACTAAAAAGATTGATACACATAGGAAAAGTCCCAAAATCGAAAAGATGATAAAAAATAAAACAGAACATCTAAGTGAATAAAATTAACCAACAATGAAAGTGTCAAAAATACTGGTAAAAACATATAAAAGTAAGGTCAGGTAAAACTTCAAATAGTAAAAATATGAAAAATCACATTAAATGCAAATAAGACTAAAATCAGATTAATAGAATAATTAAAATAGTCGACTAAAAGTTCAAGTGTTCCCCTTTAAGGCTAAGTGCCTCTAAGATTAAAAATTAACCTAACCTAAACCTAAGTTTCTCTAAAAAGGATAAACACTCAAAGATGACACCAGGTAAGACAGAGGGTGCTGAAATTCACCAAGACCAAGATTTCATTTCGAATGTTCTATGTACAGGGTGTCTATAAAAGAACTCCGGGGAGACTAAAAGTTCAAGTGTTCCCCTTTAAGCCTAAGTGCCTCTAAGATTAAAAATGTTCTAAGGTAAACCTAAATTTCTCTAAAAAGGATAAACACTCAAAGATGACACCAGGTAAGACAGAGGGTGCTGAAATTCACCAAGACCAAGATTTCATTTCGAATGTTCTATGTATAATGAAGATGTCAGTTCAAGGGGAGCAGTGAATTAAAAAAAAATCATTCCAACTTCTGATTCTGTTAAGGTAAAATATTTCGGGGACAGAGATTGAATTATTAAACGAAACTCAAATAGTTTATTACATAGAAATAAGTTTTTTAATTTTAATTTTTTAATAATTTTTTAATTTTTTTTTTTTTTTTTGAAGTTATCAACAGATGGTCGCATAAATCATAGGTAAATAGTAAGTATCTTTCCACTGACATTTAAAAAGTAAAGAAGTTTGTGGAATGTATACTTCCCGCAGCCTTACCAAGGTTTCAAATGCTATAAAATATAAAATTGTTCTTTGAAATTAAAAAACTGGAAGGGGGCTAAAATTGAAAAACGTACAGAATAAAGCAGTTTCTTGTAGAAGCAATGTTTTTTACCCCCCGCTGTTTTATTAATTCAAAATGTTTGTTCGCTAAAAGAAAAACATTAATTATTGCTTAACATTTAAATTCCAATCACTATTCGGTTATGATAATATTCAGAGTATACAAAAAGGGATGGATTTATTTACCCTAAAAATTTAAAATAAATTTTTAATTTTAAAAAAATTATATGCATGGTGAACTAATGTAATTGATCTTAACGCAATATGATATGAATTTGAATAAAACCTGAATAAGATAAGTAGGTCATTATTTTTACAAAAATGACATAGTGCCAATCAAATGCCATTCGACTGTCAAAACTGATTTGATCAACATTTGTTGTTAGAACATCTGAAACGCCTCTTGACCTAGGTTCAAAGTCACATCTAAGAACAGTTAAGAGCTTTTGGGCCATCTTATTTGTAATAATTAGAAAAAATTTATATAATCCCTTCAGACTCAGTTTTATTACGAGCGCTAAAATAGTTTAAAAAAATATTATTATCTAAGCACGTTCATCTAGTATATATCTAATTAATTTAAATTCTTAATTTGTTACAGAAGGTGAAAGTAACTTTATTTCTCAGTTTTTTTTCCTGCATTAACAACAACTGGTTTGTTATGCTGGAAAATTCTACGTCCATTGCTGTTTATTGTTGGCAAGGAAAAGACAAATTCATTACAGCCTAATGAAAGATATTTATTCTAGAAAAATACTAAAATTTGTTTTTTATAATATTGTTGAAGGCAAAATACTTGCTTTATTTATTTAAAAAAACACATTTATGTAATTTTTTTTAGCAATTCTAAGACTTTCCAACTTTTGAAACAAGTATTTATACCTAAAAATACCAATGTTAATCATGTTTACATAACTTATTTTCATGTAACCAGTAAATTATATATCACTATCTTCACTTAATGAGTAACAGTGTAGTAGTTTAGCTATTTAAAATATATCTGTCACTTATTATGTTGATCTTTTTTTTTTCTTTTCAGGGAAGAATTAATAAAATGTTCTAATAAAAATAATGGTTATTTCTTTTGATTTTCAATCAAAATTATAACATTTTCATGCATTATAGAAAAATGATTTTTCACTCACTTTTATTTAAATAGAATGAAATAATATCAGATCATTTAATACATGCATTTTTGTTGCACATTTATATCACATATTATGTACGTTTTTAATTAAGTAGTCAAAATAAGAGAGATGGATAAATTAAATAATAAAAAATGCATTACATTTTATTATAGATTTCATTTTATTTATTTAGCACTTTTTTCTCAGGTATCTTATTTGTTCTAATAAATAATTTCATATTTGAAGCAAAATTTGTAAAATAATTCATATAAGAATTAAAAGTGTTATTTTATTTTAGAGAGAATGTTGATAAATATATATTTCCTAACGTTTAAAATATGTTGCCCTGAAAAGGAATTTTTCTTACGAACTATAATTTAGTAAACGTACTTCTCTTGAAAAAATAATATTTCTATTTTGATAAATTATTCATTAATGTTACATCATAAATTTTCGATATAGTTAATTTTCATATATACGTTCAAATCTTAAAACTGTAAACAAAATGTCATAAGACATTTCAAGTTCGAAATTTTATAATATCTCTCTGATCTTGGAAAAATTCCTCTCTCTCTATGAGCATGCGTAAAGCATTTATACACGTGCTAACTACACTTGCAGGTTTTGTCTGATTTTATATGTTTTTTAATTGAATAGAACTGTGAATTAGCTAAAATTGCTAATATCTTTTAAGTACTTTAAAGGAAAATAATCCTCCCCAGTTTAATTGATGACAGTGACTTATGAGAAAAATTAATTTTCGAATGACTATGTCGAACAAATCATTTGAAATGTTTTTTAAGATCGGGCCGACAATTCCCCCTTTCAAATTTCGAGACCGTAGCACGAATGGTTCTTAAGTTATAATAGAGACAAACAGGCAGGCTTTTTCTCGTTTTACAGATAGAGAAATGTAACTCTCAGTATATATAAAGCCAATTTAATCGTTATGACAGGAATCTGTGTAATGATGACCAAATACGCTTATGCACTTTGTGCTTGCTGTATATGCAAATTTATCTGCATTTAACTTCATTCCAAGCTATTAAAATCTTTTGGAAACAGATGCAACTCATTTAATGTTAGAAATGCTCCTGTTATCAATAATATTGTTTCCTCTTATATCTAAAATACCCGCAGTATCCTTATTTACTCTTTTGCTTTATCTTTATAAAAATAAAACAAATTAAGTAATGATATTGCGTTAAAGTTACTCACCATTCGTTCTTCGGTTATTTCATCAATATCCATAATATCAAGGCTAAAATAGACAGTTGTTGGTTTACCTTCTAAACACAAGAAATATATTTTAATTCCAAATAGGTTTCATTAAAAACAAATTTAAAAAATAGTAAATAGTAAAAAAAATTTAAACTATATGTTGCATAGGTACATACATCTTCATTGGCAGGGTGAATTATTCCTACTGATGAAGTATAAGAGAGACCTGCTGATGAAGTAGGTACACCTTCATCAGTTATCCTACGGATGATGGTTATGTGACACCAAAACTCATACAGGTTTTAAAAAATTGTAGCATTTGTGAATTTTTAAGTTGTTTTAAATTTAATTTTAGATAATCACTAAGAACTACTCTAGAAATTTTATTCTCAAATAAGTTACTAAATGTCAAGAAATGTGATGGCATATCCAGAGGTTACACACATAATGGTAAAATTTTTTGAACATGTTTAAGCTTTTCACAACACAAAATCATCATTTTAAATTTTAAAAAAAAGAAGTAAAGATGCAATTTATTACAATATAAAATAAGGAAGCCTTTATTTCTTATTTTGATGCATAGTGAAGCATTTGTGAACAGGATTGATCAGCTTAAAAGAATTTTCTTCATAGAACTCCATCAATGGAAAGTTGTTTTGGGTACATAGCAAGAATAATGTCATTCGATGACTCTCTCGAAGTTAATGTACAAGAAATTTTATTCTCACTAGATGCCTAAGCGACTTAAACATGAAGTTCTGTGTGAAAATTGTTTTTAAACTGATCTGTCCTTGGGACAGAGTAGAAATAAATCGGCATTATTTTCTGGTCTGTCCTTGGGACAGAGTAGAAATAAATCGGCATTATTTTCATTCTTACCGATTTCTAGCTGCCATTTTATTTATTTATTTATTTTTTACATGGAGTGCATTACTCATTGATTTTCTCAAAGAAATTAACTTTCAATAGTATGAAACGCTGCGAAACATTCCTTTCAGCTAAAGAATTCCTTTCTTTTAGAAAGTTTTTTTTTTGTATAAAAGTATGCAATTTTTTTAAAAGGAATTATTAAAATAAAAATTTTCTAGGAGAAACTTTGTTTAATAACCGAGTCCTTACCTGATCCCGACAAGTTTAAGCTTTTCATAGCGCAAAAGCACAGTTTGAATGAAATTATTCTTCTGAAAGAAGTTTATAAAATATGTTTTATTTATCTTTAACACATTAGTTTGCATTGATATTTATTATTTATAACAGTTAACACCTGCAAAATTTCTCACTATGAACGAATAATATTTAACGAACCATGCATTCAAAAATTCACTCAATAAAAAGTGCTTTGTGTGTCATACACATTTATGAACATTGGTCTCTGAATATCTTTCAAATGAATATTTAATTTCTCAGGTCTTTGTTGAAAATAAATAAGATGAAAAAAATCGAACTAAATCTAGCGAAACTTTTTTGAAGTAAACATTATAATAAAGCTTAAATGACATTATTTTCTGCACGAAAAATATGGCTTATTTGATAATTTCGTATTGATTCTCATACTTATTTTATTAGAAGATATCTGACTTCAACAAGGCTAACTATAATAACAGGTAATAAATTTTAAAAAAATTACCTTTTATCTTAGCCATGCAACCGCAATAAATTGATAACGTGTGTGATATACTAATATTGTTTGTTTTTTTCAACGAAAAAAATATAGCTAAAAAAAATCCTTTTCAAAAGCTGTCATGCATCATTCTTCATTTTTACATATATTTTATTACGCTTATTGACAAACTAGTAACTTAAAAAATAGTTTAGAACTCAAATCAATTTTCTATCAGTTGTTTCTTTATAAGAAAATATAAAGGTTTGGGACTCAGGTCATAGAGTCGAAATAGAAATACCATTCAGTAAGTCCTGATTTAGAATTCAGCAGGCCGGGACACGTATCTGTCGTGGAGTAATAAAAGAAAAATTTTATCCATTTAAGAAAAATCTTAAAATAGTTGTTAAACAACAAATATAAAATTCAGATTTTATTAAAAGGCGAAACTACAGTTACAGTTTAGTAAACTTTAAAGGTGTTCAACAAGGATTAGGATTTAAAAACACCGAACTGTCTGGCAGAGGATTAGGAATTTCAAAACAGCTCGGTAGTAGGTTAGCAACATCGAAAGCGTCCTATCACTACAAATAAGTGCCAAAGTAATAAATAAACAATTCGAAAGTTATAAGAGGATGTTAGAACTGTCATATTTCATTAATCTTTGGGAGTGTCCGGCAAGTGATTTGCTGCATGTGAACTGTCCGGTTATTTGGGAACCAGAAAAACATGATTAAATAGTTGTCCAAGATACATAAAAAAATTTAACTTTTATAAAATGGTGATATTAGAGAGAGAGATTGTGTACATATTTTCTACTCGTTACTTGCTGAGGACAGCGTGATCCAAGGTTAATAAAAAGCAGAGCACAAAGTAAATTAACAAAATACTCGAAATAACTCTTGATCCTTATGATCGAATTTTTACGTACTAGGACTCAATCTTAATGCTCGAGGGGGTGACCTTAAATATGCTAATAATTAAATGCAGCCGATATTTTAACTTTTGAAATACACTAAAACGTACTTTTTTCGAATAAACGTAACTTTTTTCAACGGATTCGGATTTTTGAATCCATAAATATAGGGGGTAGCCGCAATCTGGGAAATATGGTATACCAATAATTTGGTCAGAAAAGCGGTCTAAAATTTGAACCCCTTAATGTTAATTTTACTTTTTGCGTACTTTACCACAACTGGAGATCTTTTTAAACAAATTGAAAAATTTTTGCACTCAATTATTAAGTTTGTTTATCTAAAGATAATACCATGCAAGAAATAAATTTTCATAAATATTTACTGTTTCTTACAAATTTATTTAATAGCAGTCAAAAAAATTTGAATTATAAGGTATACGATATTTGCATCATTTTAAAGAATGTAATTTTATATAGCGAAATACGAAATTTGAATGAAATCAGTGCAATAGTTCCCGAGAAATCAAATTTTTTAAAAAAATCAGTAAATCAAATTTTGTTTACTTGAAATATAGGATAGGAACTTCTAAATAGTCTTACCACTTCAAATAAGTTCCCAAATAATAAATATAGATTTCAGAATTTATAAAATGACTTAAGAACTGTGACATTTCATTAACCTTTAAGGGTTTCCAGTTTGCAGCATGCGAGCTGACTGGCTGATTGGAAAACTTCTTGATATGGATTTTTAAATAACATACATAAAATTCAGCCCTTTATGAAATGATGTAAATAAGGTCCTATTTCTTAACATTTAGGGGTTTCCAGAAGGTAATTTATAACAAGATAACAATCTGATTAGTTGGAAACATTTTAAAATAGTTTCCTATTAAACATACAAAAATTTCAGATTTTATAAAATAAGTATGGTCCCATTTTGTGCATATTTGCCACCTGTTACCTGCCAAATGAAGCACGGCGCAAGGTGTAGAAAACTTTCAGTATTTAAGCTATGACATAAGTCTGGTTTACACGAGCTCTTGGACTATATCTTCAATAAATATATAATAAAATCAAGAATTTGTGTGTCTGTATACCGTAAGCTCTAAAAATGCGACATTCAACAGGAAGCTAAAGGATTTAAAAAAAAGGAAATTTCTCATTGACTTAGCAGAAACCATTAGTTTAAAACAAATTATAGGCATTTAAGTTTTGTCAGATATTTTAAAGATAACACCAGTGATGTCTGTTAGCTTATACCTGTAATAAAAAAAAGTTGTTTATTGCGTGTTCTGTAACACTTAATTAAATGCCAGGTTATTTGAACGATCAACGTGTTCGCTGTAGCATAGGCTGACTTAATCACCAAATTATAGTAGAATTTCTAAAGTTATGTGAGAACACGTGCATATTTTGTTTATAGTTCTGCTTTTAAAAAGTGAATAGTAAATAATAAAATTAAATCTTTTATAATTAACGACAATTGAAATAAAAAAATAATAAGTTTTGAACTGAAAATTTATTTATTGAGGACAAACATAAAAAAAACACTAATAATATTGTTTATGCCAATGGTAATTAGTTTTGGTTATAATTACTGATACTAAATCCCATCTACTAAAAAACAAAACAAATGGAGAAATGTTGTTACTTTGTTTATTACAGAGCAAACAAATCGGCAAACTAGTATTGACGTTAATGATGCTTAATTAATTTTAGCAATAGGTACTAATTGAAAAAAAAAGTTATAAACTAAAAAAAAAAATAATGCAAAAATATTTACGTACTTGCTATGGGATTCCGTAAAAAATCTCCATTCTTTAATAGCACCAATGATGCTCAACTTTTGTAATAAGCATTACTAGCATCATATGGAGCAGTTTTAATAGGTAGGATACCAAATATGCTTTTATATAGTTACAAAGTACAATTTCATGACGGATTTTTCACACACCCTCGAAGATATATGTACAGGAGAAAGTAGCTAGATTATGGTAAATTATAAATATCATGTGTTGCTTTGTTATGAAGAACTACTAAATTCGTGTTTCTCTTAATCTAATAATGTAAAGCCTCCGAAAAGGGAAAAAATAATATATGTAAATAAAAGAAGTTGGAATTAGCGTTGGTTGTCGGCATTTGTCTTACAGTTTTGTGCTCCATTTTGATTGTTTATTATTGATTTATTGATGCTTATTTTTTTCACCTCGTATGCAGAACGGAAATTCAGCTAGCATCTATTATATTAAAAAAAATCGCTCGGCATCAAGTTTTGCTTTTATCGTACGTAACTATTACACACACATTTATTTTATTATGTATAGGGAAAATGGTCCGAAAGTGACAAAGTAGATGCTTATTAACTTTCTTGGGAATTTTTTTGACATTGAAGTACTTATTCTCTAATATTTTAAAAAATTGAAATCGGTTGCAATTATGTAAATCCATAGAAAGCTGCATGCTTGAAGCAGAAACAAGGCNACAAAGCTACGGAGTTAAACATTAGTAGTCGTAAGCCCATAAAATTGAGTCGGCTGTTCAACGACGGTTATAAAATATAAAATATACAATTAAAAAGTTACAAAATGAAGTTAGTACTGTCATATTTCATTAATCTTTGGGGGTGTCCAGCAAGTGGTTTGGTGCAGGCGAACTGTCCGGTTATTTGGGAACCAGAAAAACATCATAAAATAATAGTGCAAGCATCATAAAAAAATTCCGATTTCATAAAATGGTGATATTTGGGACCCATTGTGTTCATCATTGTGTTCATCATCCGTTACTTGCTGAGGACAGCGTGATTCAAGATTAATAAAAAGCAGAGCACAGAAGAAATGAAAAAGAACACTCGAAATAACTCTTGATTCTTATGATTGGATTTTTACGTACTTGGACTCAATCTTAATGTTTGAGGGGGTAGCCTTAAATATGCTAAAAATTCAATGCAGACGATATTTTAACTTTTGAATTCAGAAACGAAAACGTACTTTCTTCGAATGAACGTAACTTTTTTTCAACGGATTCGGATTTTTGAATCCAGAAATATAGGGGGTAGCCGCAATCTTTGAAATATGGTACCAATAATTTGGTCAGAAAAGCGATCTGAAATTTGGCCCCCTTAATGTTAATTTTACTTTTTGTGTACTTTACCACAGCTGGAGATCTTTTTAAAGGAATTGAAAAAATTTTGCGCTCAATTATTACGTTTGTTTATCTAAAGATTAGACCATGCAAGAAATAACTTTTTATAAATATTTACTGTTTTTAACATATTTATTTAATAGTAGTCAAAACATTTTTGAATTGTGAGGTATACGATATTTGCATCATTTCAAAGAAAGTAATTTTATATGACGAAATACAAAATTTGAATAAGATCAATGAAATAGTTCCTAAAAAATCGAATTTTTTTAAAAAAATCAGTAAATCTAATTTTGTTTACTTGAAATATAGGATAAGAAATTCTAAATAGTCCTATCACTTCAAATAAGTTCCCAAATAATAAATACAGGTTTCAGAATTTATAAAATGACTTTAGAACTGTAACATTTCATTAACCATTAAGGGCTTCCGGTTTGCAGCATGCGATCTGGCTGGCTGATTGGAAAACTTCTTGATATAGATTCTTAAATAACATACATAAAATTCAGCCCTTTATGAAATAATGTAAATAAGGTCCTATTTCTTAACCTTCCAGCAGGCAATTTATAACAAGCTAACAGTCTGATTAATTGGAAACATTTTAAAATAGTTTCCTATATAACATATAAAAATTTCGGATTTCATAAAATAAGTATTGTCCCATTTTGTGCATATTTGTCACCTGTTACCAGTGTTGCCAGATTAGGGGTTTTCCCCCTAAATTTAGGGGGATTTTTCATCTTCAGTGGGTATTTTAGGGGAATTAGTTTTTAGGGGTTTGTTTTAGGGTTATTTGTGAATTTTACTAGTTTCATTTTGGTTACCTCCTAATATCAAATTCTATAACTGTATGTGTGAGGTGGTAATATGAAAATCAATATGTTAAACCAAAACAAAAAGATTAAGATATAATTTTAGACCTTTACCCCTTTGTTGAATGTGGTAGGTTATTACTTAGCTCGATCAACCACTAAGTTAGGAGAATTTGAATTCAAATTATTTAAAATTTTTAATGTGCATGGTTTAAAAATAATGCCAAAGGATGAAGAAAAAAAAGAAGTACGTACAAAAGTACAAGAAGGATTGGGAACACGAAAAGCAGTTTAAAGGCTTAAGGGTAAAGGATTTTATACCTACTTTTTCTATGTAAAAAATGTTTAACAGCGAAAACATATACAAATCAGAAAGTATTGAAAATATGTTGGATATTTTATCAAAAATTTAAGCATAATGTTAGAATTAAAATATTAAAAAAGACTATATCGTTGATAATAAAATATTTATGAAAAAATGTGCAAGTCAAAAAGTATTGAAAAAAAAATATCTTAAATATTTCAGTAGAAATTAAAGATAATGTAACGATTGAAATGTAAAAAAGATTTATTTGTTGATAATAAAATATTAAAAAGTACTAAAGCAACGTTTTCCATACATTATTTAACTTTTCTACTATTTTTTAATACTTATACATTAAGTTAAAAATTTTGGGGTTTTTTAAAAAATTTTAGGGGATTTTACAACGCTATCTGGGGGTGGATCTGGCAACACCTAGCACCTGGCAACACTGCCTGTTACCTGTCAAAGGAAACACGGCCAAAGTTGTCGAAAACTTTTAGTATTTATGCTATGACATAAGTCTGGTTTACTCTGGCTCTTGGACTTGATCTTCAATAAATATATATAATAAAATAGGGAATTTGTGTGTCTGTATACCGTAAGCTCTAAAAATGTGACATTCAACAAGAATCTAAAATATTTAAAAAAAGGAAATTTCTCATTGACTTAGCAGAAGCCATTATTTTGAAACAAATTATAGGCATTTAAGTTTTGTCACATATTTTAAGGATAACACCAGTGATGTCTGCTAGCTTATATCTGTAATCAAAAAAAGTTGTTTATTGCGTGTTCTATAACACTTAATTATTTCTTATAAGTTATGCTAGGTTATTTGACTAATCAACGTGTTCGCTGTAGCATAGCCGGACTTAATCACCAAATAATAGTAGAATAATAGTAGTTAGGTGAGAACACGTACATATTTTGAGTTATGCTTTTGAAGCGTGAATATTAAATAATAAAATTAAATCTTTTAAAATTAACGACAGTTGAAATAAAAAAAATAATAAATTTTGCACTGAAAATTTAATTATTGAGGATAAACATAAGAAAAAACTAATATTATTGTTTCTGTCAATGATAATTAGTATTGGTAATAATTACTGGTACTAAATCCTATCTATTTAAAAACGAAACTAATGGGGAAATGTTACTACTTTGTTTTTTACAGAGAAAACAAATCGACAAACTAGTATAGACGTTAATGATGCTAAAATAATTTTAGCAATAGGTACTAATTTAAAAAAAAGTTATGATCAAAGAAACAAAATGAATGCAAAAAAATTTTCTTATTTGTTCCGGGGTTCTCCATACTTTAATAGCACCAATGATGTTCAACTTTTGTAATAGGCATTACCAGCATCATATAGAGCAGTTTTGATAGGTAAGATACCAAATATACTCTTATATAGTTACAAAGTACAATTTTATGACAGATTTTTCACACACCCTCGAAGATATATGTACAGGAGAAAGTAGCTAGATTGTTGTAAACTATAAATATCAGGAGTTGCCTTGAGCAACAGCATTATGCCAAATAATACTAAATATAGTTAAACTTCATTTTGATGGGAAGAACTACTAAATTCGTGTTTCTCTTAATCTAATAATGTAAAGCCTCCGAGAAGGGAAAATATAATATATATAAATAAAAGAAGTTGGAATTAGCGTTGGCTGTCGGCATTTGTCTTACAGTTTTGTGCTCCATTTTGATTGTTTATCATTGATTTATTGATGCTTATTTTTTTCACCTCGTATGCTGAACGAGAATTCAGCTAGCATCTATTATATTAAAGAAATCGCGGCAGCATCAAGTTTTGCTTTTATTGTACGTAACTATTACACACATATTTATTTTATTATGTATAGGGAAAATGGTCCAAAAGTAGATACCTATTAACTTTCTTGGGAATTTTATTGACATTGAAGTACTTATTCCCTAATATTTAAAAAAATTGATATCAGTTGCTATTATGTAAATCCATAGAAAGCTGCATGCTTGAAGCAGAAACAAGGCTTTATGATTACTTTTAAAGCAAAAACAAAATTAGAGAATTCAATTACTCACCATCTTGATTAGGGTGATTATTTTTATTATAACCTGGAAGGATTAGGTAGTTTTCTTTCTCTTCACAGCTACACTGGCTAAAAAAAAGAACAATATACCGCATTTGCTCTAAGTTTCGAATTCTTATGAGAATTAGTTCCACATAAAAAGTTGGACAATAAATTTTAGCTATATCATGTTAGCTATATCATAAATTTTAGCTATATTTAGCTATATCTATATTTAGCTATATCATGAAAAAACTCAGAATAAATGTATCATTTTAATTGGATAAAATAGATATTATAAAATTAACAAGAGAATGTGAAACTTTCTTTACCTAGAGCAACTATCCAACAATGCTCATATCTTTTTAGGAACGGTTCTAGAATCATTTAGAATCTCCTAGAATATTTCTTCACAAAGAATTATTTTTTCGATATATACTCAAAATATATTCTTATTCACTTCTTTTAAATTGCATCAATGGTATCAAGAATTCATTTGCTAATGGGATCTTTTTTTAATTTCTAATTCAACTCAAAAGCAGTTTTTTGCGACGCCACGAAGAAATTTTCAAAATTAAAAAATGTGGTATGAAAAATTGCGACTTACGAATTAAATAGTTAAGAGGAGGTATACTGTGGGAGAAACCCTTCGTGCATAGTTCTGCCTTAGCTATATTTATTCAAAATTTTATGTATCGAAAAAAAAACGTTTTCTGATAAACCAAAAGTAAACAATAAAATTTCAAATAAAATTCAAAATACCAAATAACAAAATATAAAATAATAACTTCAACTCTCCATGACAACTGCGCCTCACCTTAATTTTAATTTCTATCTTCAATTTTGTTTTGTGCATTAAGAGTTCATGCTTTAATTATAATCTTTATACTACTTTAATAAAACTTTTAAAAAGAAAACTTTGGATGAAATGCTCTCTATCATTTTTAAAAGCAACCATTTTCATCGTCACATGTCTACTACTTTTCTTGATAAGATTTTAAAAAATAATAATAAAATAAACTTGTAAACAGAATATAGAAATTCCGGAAAGGATACACCAACTGCGACTATCACTTTTCTATTTGTTTATAAAACGAAAAGTTTTGGGAAATTTATTATAACAGAATAAAAATATTATAAATGTTAATAAGATGGAAAGTTTCTTTCTTTCCTGAATATAAGTGGAGGGAAAATGTTCCATTATGATTTTTTTATCCCTTAGAATTGGCTTAAAATCTTATTATTCAATTTCATAAATTTTGGGAAAATAAAGGGTTGATACTAAGTTCGAATTTAGTAAGTTTGATATGATAGAAATTTCATTACTGATCTTGTGGTCAGTAATTTGATAATTAAAATAAGCTTTTCTGTATTTAAACAAAGAAATACTATTTTTTCTATGAAGAAATTAAAGTATTGGTTTTTAAGCAGGTAAAGAAATTGTAGTAAACATCTCTTCGAAAATGATTTATGATTTACACTTTTGTAAATCACATTATAATAATAGATATAATTTTCGACGCACAACTTTTTGTGATACGATTACCTCAAACAAAAACATAAAATAAAAACACATTAATCTTACAATTGTTTGCTTTTGTTATGACAAACATTTTTTCCATCTTTCTAATAAATGTTTACTAGAAAGGTTTGTCATTGTATAAGAATCCATTAAATAAGATAAATACAAATACTTACGTCCGTGTAAACAAGTGCGCTTTTACTAGAAAAACTTACAAGCCTTACTCTTCTGAAAACACGCACATCTGAAATTTTGTTTATATATATATATATTAAGATAACATCACGCTGTGTATTTAAAAATGGCGAATCTAGTATTTAATTCATGCTTGTATAATGTTCAATACAAAAAGTATTAGGTAAAATAAATATAAATGAGGAAGTACAAGTTACAAACCGATAGCTTTGTAGCACGATTTCTGATAATTGATTACAGATACGGACATGTATGAAACAATATGCCATAAACATATTACTGCTTTGTGTTATTTCAAATGTCAATCATTTTCGATAATTAATTTATTTTGATTTAAAATTAAAAAACATTTGCAACTTTTTTTTGCTTCAGGAAATTTTTAATTGAAAGTTTTAATTTGAGTCCAAAACCGAAATTGACAAAAAAAAATTCTGTAGCCCTAACTATAAAAAATATTATTTGTAAAAAATTCAATATCTTTTTTATTTCCAATGGCAGATTATAGACAGTAACAGCATACATAAACATCTAAAAATAAGAACAGAAGCAAAAGATGCTGCAACAAGGTCTATTAATCACAGCATGTCTCTAGCTTCCCAATAAAATTCAATATTATATGCAGAAAACTCAAATCTGAAGTATAAATAATGATAAATAAATATAATATATCACTTAAAATGGTCCGAAATTAACCATTATTGAAACCAGCTTACATTACAAAGCCATAAATAAAAAGACAAATTTTAAGTTTTGGATACTGTAGAAAACCTAAAAAAGATTAAAAAAGGTATTTATTTAGAAAAAAAATATGTTTTCATTTGCGCCAAGTGAAAGTAAATCAAACAAAAAAAACTTGCTGCTTTTTAATCTTCAGCGTCAATCGCACTATTAATATGCTTTTAAATTTCGCATATGCTTTCGTATCAGATCTTTCGCATCAGATCTCTAGTTTGGTACTGTACCAGCTGTACTGTACCAGCTCTCTATTTTTTTCTCTATCCACTATTTGCCATCCACAAACATAACATAACGTGCATTTTTAGTTTTGTAATTTCTTCACTTAAATAAACTTTAATTAGTTTCGATACAGCATTTTTACACTAGAAAAAAGGAAAAAAGTGAGGGTCTTAATGTGTCTTGATGAACCCTGTATACCTGGCTGTGATGAATTTAGCAATCATAATCCTTTCATCAGTTAGAAATGGAAGGAAATTTGTTTTCGTTATTTGTACTATCAGTTTCAGCTAGAATGATATAATAATTCAGAAATTGATCGAAGGAACTGTTTCCGTGAATAGTTTTTAATTTACTCTAAAACTTAAAATGGTCTATCAAGCATGAATAAATGTTTATCTGACCATGAATACCGAGTGAAATTGGGCGAGTCTGTGTAATTGGTTCAAGCTAAGGAAAATTAATAACCGGATCTGGATAGCCAAAACGGAGTACTAAAATTTGCTATCCAGGTATAACCAAATTTACATTAGCTGATTACTACCCGGATCCGGCTAGCGAAGTTCAGTACTCGGTTCTGGATATCCAGACCCTGTTATAAATGCTTGGGTACCCAGACTCGATGGTTATTTTTCTTTCACTTGTACCGGTTACACAGACCTGTTGAATTTCACCAAGTACAGAAATCGTTAGCCGGATCCGGGTAATAATCAGGTAATATAATTATGTCTAAATTTATCTGATTACAATGTAGTTGCCGAGTACGTGATATATTCATAATAGAATGTCTACTTTCCAAATTCACTAAATATACAATCATACAAACTAAACAAAAATTACTAACTTAAATGACAAACTTAATACAAACAACAGCAATCAAAACCATACAAATTGAACATTCAAATTAATTATTTCAATTAACTATTTATATTTTTAATACTTATTGACCACAGATAGAAAGTGCACGAACAGAAATGATAGTGATTAGAATGAGCACAAAGAAGCAAAGTTTTTTTTTGCAATCAATAATTAAGTCAGCAATTAGTGCATAAAAAACAAGCACATGAATTAAAAATATCAATTAAATATTTTAATTTTTAATAATTATTGACCACCGATAATACGTTCATTATCATCCTTCAACTTAGATTTATTTAAATTTAGCTCTACCACATAATAAACCTAATGATGTATTTAAGATTATTTAACTGAAGTTAAGTTTATTTAACAGTTTATTAACTTTAAAAAGCTTAAAACTAATCAAAGCATTTGTTTTAATCTTTTAAAATACAATTAAAACATTACATACCGCTTATCATACTCAAAGTTTAATTATTAAAAAATACTGCGATAATTTAATGACATAACGATATTAAAACGAAAAAGATTATCAAGTTTAAAACTTACTAAAATTCAAATTTGTTTGAAGGCATTTAAATATTGAATTTATTTTACATTAACTTTGCATTTGAATAACATTTACTAGAAATTTAAATAAATCCATTGTGTCATGCATTTTAATATATTTATACATCTAATTTTATATGTAATTTAAATGTGTGATTCTTTTAAAGTTATTTAAATAATTGAATGTATAATTCGTATTATTTAGTTCAATATATATATTATTTATTCAAACATTTTAACACATTTATTAACTTATTCTAATTTATTTTAACGTATTTTAACACAAAATTTAAATACATAAGTCATTTAAAGAAATTTGAATTTAAAATAAATATTATTTGTTTTAATGCATTTAAGTATATATTTTATTACATTAATTTATTCTCATTTGTATTTTTAATATGTATATTCAATACATAATTCATTTCAGAATATTAAAATTTATAGTTCCTTTTAAATAAACGTCTTATGTGAATGTAGTAGTAAAAAATTACAGTTGTGATTTTGATAGTTCAAATAGAAATTATATCTAAATTTAAAAAAATTTTACTAAATATTAACAATCAATTTTAGTGTAACACGTGAATTTAACTAAATGATTTCAGAACTTTCATTTCAAAAAACTTTTTTTCATAATTCAAGTTTATTTAAGATTATTATTTTAGTTATCATTAAATGTCAATATCAATAATTTTAAAAAAAATTTAGCTTTCCAAATATTATCCAACCAGTGCAATATAAGTAAATAAGTATTATTTTCCTCACCTCTTAGTAGATTTTATAAGAAATACTTCAATAAAGACACAATTCAAATATAAAAACAACCTAAAATGACAAATTGGCATCCTACTTTTTAATAAGAAAATAAAAGACCCGATGACAGAGTCAATCACTGAATTTAATAATTTCATTGAGCTCCATAAAAACATTTCCTGCAACTCAAACACAATTTCCGACGTGCCTTTCACATATTGATTGTGACAAGTCTAACAATACTATTTACCCATTCGAAGTGACTTTAACGATTTCCTCTAAGTAGCCCTTCCGAAATGGAAATAGCAGTTAAAATGCGTTAGTGACGCTTCTGCACTTACTTATTTACTCGATAAATTTTAAAAAATGCTTCTTTACGAACATGGCGTGCAAGGAAGAAAAGAAACTAATAAAGTTATTGATGGATTTTAAGTACATATATTGATACTTATCACTGTGTTTACAGCTTTTACTTTCATCTGATGTTATTTTTTACATTTTTTTTCTCCTTTATTTAAATTTTTTCACTATTGAATACATGTTTTCTCATTTAAAATCCTGATAACTATTACTTTCAGAAAATAGCTTTCAAGATAAAATTTAATAATGGGACTAATCAAGCAACTAAGTGCTTTTAACTAATCAATATACATGTTCTCTAATCTTATGAGAAATTGTTACATTATTTTCTTTAAAAAGAATATTTCAACTGTTTAAATATTTATAATGTATATTTTCTTAATAAAATTCGCAAAAAAATTTCGTTTTCAGGTATAATTTAAGCAAACTAGTAAATAAAGAGGGGTTTTTTTTTAATATATCTTTTCCTACGTGAAATATAGATAGATTTACTTTAACAAAGAAAGCTTTCCAACTCTAACATGATATATATATGTATATATATATATGTATATATATACAAGAGAGATAAAATAAAAGAGAGAAAACAATTGTTTTTAATGTAATGATTAAATTAAATTTTAGCGTACTAAAATCTGCCACGTTCAATTAAATAAACATACCTTTATTTGGTCAGATTTTGATTTTTAACCATCAAAACAAGCAAGGAATGGGTACCAACAGGAGTGAAAAATGAATGAATGAATTTTAAAATTTTTCCGATCCCCTAAAAAAGTTTTCGATCAAACGTTTAGGACCATATTATGACGACTATCCCACATATTTTAAGAGTCAAGAATCGGAATCCGTTATAGGAAGAAAAAACAAGTACGTTTATTCAAAAAACGTACGTCTTTGTATCATTGTCAGAAGCCTTAATTATGTTAATAACTATCGTCGGCACTTAATTATTGGCATATTTAAGGCTCTCGACTCTTTAATATTGAATCCTAGTTCATTATACTAGTACGCTTTAATGTTGAGTTCATTCGATCAAAAGTTAATTAGTATATCCACTTTTTATTTTGTACAATGTAGTACACAGATTTAACATGAACTTAAAGATCTTTTTTTTTTCATGTAAAAAGATGTATAGAAAACTCTAATTTTTTTTTTTTTTTTTTTAAAGTTTTATTTATTTTATGCTTCGTAAATTAGTTCAGCGAAAACTATTAGAAGTCGAACTATGATCATTTACAGATGAACTGAAAATGAACAATACACCTAAAACGAATGTCGATTATCTTCAACACCGCGATGGAGGCCGGGATAACCTGGTTGGTAATACACTAGACCCATGTCCAAGAGTTCGTGTGTTCGATCCCCGCCGACCGAAGACTCCCCGTCTAGTAAATGATGACTGGTGCATGATAAATCTGTCGAGTCGCAAAGTCTTCCATGTTCCCATAACAAGTCAATACCTCTGGGGGTATTGATCCAGAAGTTTCCTTGTCTTCTGGATTGGTACAAAATTACAAGGCTACGGAATTGAACATTAGTAGTCGTAAACCCAAAATTGGATCGACAGTTCAAAGACGGATATAAAGTGAAATAAAAAATATAAAAAATATAAAAAAAACATCGTGATGGCTCAGGGGATAGAGTGTTTGCCTTACAATGAGTTGAACCTGTTTCGAATCCCAGCAATGGCTGGTCGATACGAATTCCGCATCTGGCTAGCACCGATCACAATGCTGACGTAGTTCATCCTCCGTGGTAGACGTATCATGAGTTAAAGTCCCTTTGCCGTCAGGCTAACCGTGGAAAGTTTATGTGATTTTTCCTCTCCATGCAAAGCGAATGTGGGTTAGTTCCATCAGAAAACCGTCCACGATCACAAATTTCTCCCAATACATGATCCAGGAGTTCCCTTGTCTTCTGGATTACGTATAAAATTACAAGGCTACGGAGTTGAACATTAGTAGCCATAAATCCTCAATTCGGTCTACTGTTCAACGACAGTTATAAAATAAAATATCTTTATTTGAGCCTTGATGGCTCAAGGGATAGAGCGTTCACCTTCCAATGATGTTAGCCGGGTTCAAATACCAGTGATGGCTGGTCGATACAAATTCTACACTCAGCTCGCACCGATCACACTGCTGATGTAAAATATCCTCAGTGCTAGACGGATCATAGGTTAGAGTCCTCTTGCCGCCAAGTTAACTATGCGAATTTTTCGTGGTTTTCCTCTCCCTGTACCGCAAACGTGGGTTACTTCTATTGAAAAGTCTCCACGAAGGTAAATTTCACCCAATTCTTGATCCAGGAGTTCCCTTGTCTTCTGTATTGGGTTCAAAATTACATGGCTACGGAGTTTAACATTAGTAGTCGTATACCCGAAAAATCGGGTCTGCTGTTCAACGATGGATATAAAATATCTTTATTTTCTGTCTCTTGTTCGATATTCCGTCTATTGATGTAAAATATGCGAGTTTTTATTAATTAATACCCAGGTCAATACCCATAATCCCTAACGATACAGATATTTAAGAATTGTATTGGAAATTCTAGGATAAGCTTTTGCTTTTGAGTTTTACAAAATTATTATACTTCTGAGACCAAATAAGTTTTGCTTAAATTGACAACAGTTAATTTGTTATATACTAAAAAGAAAAATTCATTCAATTGAACATGCAAATTCTAATTGATAAAGTTTTTTAGCTTCAGTTATTTGAGAATATTTTACTCCCTTGCAAATTTTCTGTTTGTAACTCTTAATAATATTTTCTACAAATACAACTTATGATATAACACGAAATGAAACTACTTGACTAAGAAAAGAAATTTATTTTTGAAATGCTAAAATTCTATCAATTTTTAAATATTTTATTTCAGAAATAAAGGGATGCAGTTCTACTGAGCAATATTCACATTTTTAATTGGATGGAGGAAAAAAAATTGAGATTTTTAAATCCTGATTACTAAAATAATAACAAAACAGATCTTTATATTTGTAAGATTTTTCAAAGATATTAAAAATTTTTGCTGCTTAATAATTTTCAATTATTTCCATGTTAAGTTGAACAGAATTGCCAAATTTCAGTCCGCTGCTATTTTTACGTCACACTGGAGGTTGGTGAAGGAAAATAAGAGGAAAAGATTTGAGCAAATAATCCCAAGTATTGGCTAGCGAGCAGGCAGGTGGACTTTAAAATAAATAAAATTGTGTAGGCAGGAGGGTACGTTGCACTAGAGCAGCTAAGATTTCCCGTAGATTTGAGAGGAAAGAAATATTCACCGGGTCCCTATTGTTTAAAAATAATTATAAAAGTCAGAAAAAAAACACTTTTCTAAAATTCCATGAGAAAAAATAAGCAATACGATTTATGGCGAAAAGATAAGCAATACGATATTTGGCGAAAAAATAAGCAATACGCTATAACTTATAAGAATTCAGTTGATATAGTCGTTATTAATTTTCGGATATTATGCTCATTTATATGTTAAACTGAGCTTCAAAGATTTCTTTTAAAAATTTTAAAGAATGGACATAAAAAGAAAGTGGTATTAAAATAGCAATAAGTAACATTAATAAAAAAAACCGATTTGCTTGTAGAAACAAACATTTTTTTAATTATTTTGTATCAAACTTTATCGTTTTAAATTTCTTTATATTTTTAAGAAAACATGCATTTTATTTTTCTAAACATTATCTTTCGGTACTAGCAATAAGCATCCATTTCAGGTCAGATGCATTTGTATAAAGCCTATAACTAGAGCAAACAGTTTATGTAAAACTTCACTATCTATCAACTTTGTTAATAACATAAAAGAATAGAAATGTAGAATAAATAGAGAGCCCGTTCCTCGTTCGGAACTATCGGAATAGAAAAAAGATAATCAGACGAATCTGCTTTTTTTGGAAAAGTGTAGTACTTTTTTTGGAAAGAACGTTTTAAAAGTTTATATTTTGTCCAAAAAAAATACTTCTCTACCACTAATTCCACGTTTTGCTGAATAGAGTAACGCCCACTGGAATAAAATCCTAGGTGTTGGTGAAATGTGACGTATCCCGGTTACGCCCACTTGAACAAGTGAAGAACTTCGTTTTAACATTAGTATGGCGAAAAATTTCTCTCTTTTGAAACACACGATAAATCCGAACGTAGCTGAATTATTTCACATCTTTTACAATTTGAGAACGTAATATCCTGGAACTTGCCTCTTCAAATTTCCATAATGTTAAGCATGTTGATTCTTTTTGATGAGCAATAATTTTTAAAAAAAAAAAAAAAGAATCCTCTTTAGAGGCGAATTCTGAAAATAGTGTTTAGTTTGGCACTTTTACGCAATTAAATGATTAATCAATCAACAGAAATAAAATCTAACAAATTAAAATAACGACACATATAAATCAAAATAAGCATTCATGAATTTTTTTTTTAAAAAAAAAGAAAACTATCTAGCTTTTTAAAGAATTAAACATTTCCACATTTTTTTAATAAAGCTAAACTTGTTGATAAATGCATTTTTTTTTTTCAATTTTTATAAGAAACATTATTTTACAGAAGAAACTACGACATTTATTTCTTTTTGAATAGCCATTATGATTAATCAATAAACAACTGTATAATCTTCAAAATGAAAATAAAGACACACATGTCAAAACAAGTATTTATAGTTTTATTACAATTCTGTTGGTGTACTTAATTATGCAAAAATACAAATTTATAACATTAAAGTTTAAATGCATTCAGTAATATTTCCTTAATAGGTCACATTTTCTTTTCTCTTTATACTATCGTTTAAAAATTTTAATGTGCTTAGATTCAATAATTTGTATAACGCTATAAAAATTTATAACGCTATAATCAGAGCATAACAATATTATTCTTAAAAATATCTATTCAATTTAGAACTTAACTGAGATATTTAAGTAAAGTTTATATTTAAAACTGAAATTTGTAATTGGCATCATCATTTCTATTTCAAAAGATTTCTTATGAAGAAGGAGAATAATTTCGAAGAGTTAATACTCCAGAGCATGCGCAGTAAATTCTACCCTCCCCACCAGCAAAGGAAATCAGAAAGGAAATAAGTCAGTCTCGTATGGTTTTTAGTAGGTGTCAAATGCTAGAGGCAAAAATACTGACAAACCTTGAATGAAATGTTGGAAAGAAAATGACTAAAAACTATATATACCCCGATTTTTCGTATTTACCGGGTAAATATACCCTTTTATATTTTACCCACTAGGTATTTATCTGATCCACATCTATTTTTCCATTCNTGCAAAAAATTGAAATAAGGCACTGATTTAGATCGTCTTCATCTACGTAAAAATGTTTCACAAAATCGGTGATTTTAAAAATTGTTTAATAAGTTTTTTAAATATTTGAATTATTCGTCCATTCTAAGCCTAAATGGTAAGATGGCAAGATGACGTATGTAGTTTATTATAGCTTTACTTCAAGTGTCAAGTGCTACAAATATAATTAAACTGCAACTTTACAGTTTCGAAAGAGCTTCGAAGCTAAGGAAGTTAAATCTATGATATTTCGAGAACATTTTCCTTATCGGTCTGAAATAGTGATTGCGACTCTTTTAGAAGTCTTTTACTATAGAGTGAGACATTTACTTACCGACCACCCCGCTAATGATGCCCTGCCCATGTTCCAACCTCTTTCTTTCTCTGTTTTCCCAGAATGCACAGCAGAGAAGCAAACTTCTCCACCTTACCCAAAGGGCTGGCACGGGGGCAATTTCAATACATACGGTATTCTGCATAAAAGTAAAATAGAAAGTATTGTTCGACTATTTTCTAAATCCATTATTATTAGAATTAAAGCATAAATATATATCTGTAAAATGTCTAAAGGGGTTAGGCTATCGATAACAGCAGAAGAATTCAAAGCTATAATAAAATAAATCAAAACTCTAGATAAAATTCTTTTTATTAAGCTGTATTTAACAGCAAAAAATAATTTTTACATAATCAAAAAAACATTTATTTCTACAGACAAAAAGCAATAATAATACAACAAACATGAAAAATAAACGAAAAATATGAAACAAAACATGAAAAATATGAATTATTATATGAAAATACATGGATAAAAGAAATGTCTAAATAATTTTGCTCATTCATAAGCAAATGATGTTTCGATTTTTCGAAAAGCAATCATTGTTTTTAAATCTTCGAGAAAAATATAACGAAAATAATGTATAAAATATTACTAGATGAGTTATGCATAATTTTTTAGCATTTTTTTCTCCATTTTCTTTAGAATATGATTTTGGTGCTTGTTGAACAATAATATCTTGATAAGTTCTCAACAAATTGCTCAATAAGTAATGCAAATTCAATTCTCCTACAATTGATTATGCAATACGGTGGTGCAACTTGTACGAAAGCAAGTTTCAGTTTATTAATATTAAACAAATTTATCATTTTATTAAGATTAATCGAATGTGGGCGTTATGACGGTGTAACGAAGAACCAACCGTACAGTGTGCAAAATTCAAAAAATGGACCACCCTGAATGACTTTGGATCTAATGAACGGATCTTTACGTTCTACTGCTCAATGACAATGGTTCAAAGTGATAATCTCAAATATGCTAATTAATTTGTGCAGAAGATATTTTAAGTCAAAAAATCAGACACAAAAACATACTTTCTCTGAATGAACACTTCTTTTTTTCTACGGATTCGGATTACTGATCCTCAAAATACTAGTCCAAAGCTTGGATTCCTTATTGCTATTTTTAATTTTTGCGTATTTCGCCGTATATCGAGAACTTTTTCAGTGATATGAAGAAATTAAACTTTTTCAGTGATATGAAGAAATTTCCCCATTTAAGGAAAATGATAAAACTTTATTGATTGCTCAAATAAAACATTTTAATTATATTAAACGCATAAAATCAAAACTGGAGACCTATATTTCCAAATTAGTATGAATAAATGTGGCTGAAAATAAAGATACATTTAAGCAACACCATTTTTATTGTACATTTGAAGTTTCAACGCTCAATTCATAACGCTTAGTAACACTGTAAACATCAAATATTTATTTATTTATCACAATCAACACTCATAGATGCCTCAATCATAGTCTCATTAATATGTGTATAATTTCTATGTGAAGTGCTCATTGTTTATTGGAGGTAATGTAGTATTTTCCTTTGAGGAAAATTACATAACTTTATTAATTTCTCAAGTGAAGTATTATAATTATATTAATTACTTGAAACTAATACTGGAGAATTGTGCTACCTAATCAGTATTTTTAAATGTTACTGAAAATTGAGATACATTTGGGCAACACCATTTTTATTGTACATTTGAAGTTTTAGTGCTAAATTCACAACTTTAGTAGCTCTTTATACTTCAAATATTTATTTATGTAGCACTATTAACACTCATAGACGTCTCATTAATAAACGTAATATTGTTATGTGAATTGTCCATTGTTCATTGGAGGTAATGTGGATGTATCCGTGTTGGGCACTTTACAGTATTCTGAGAAATCCATCACGTAGCAGAGGACAGCCCGAGGTAAGACTCTGTAACAATAGTAAAATATAATAAAAACAAACTTCAAAATGTAGTACACTTAAAAAAAATTCATTTTATTCTTATACATTACAGATATTTTGCAATTATAAACTTTGATTTAAATACTCAATGTGCAAAATCAAGGTTAAGTATTATTCTATTAAATTTATAAAAGAAAAGAAAAGCAATAGACAAATGAAAAACAATTGATTTATAAGCGACAAAATAATACGAAACATGCTTGTTTCTTTCTTTATATTTTAATTAATGTTTTTTCCATTAAATTTATTTTTCATTATTATCAAGTGTTTGTTTTTTACCATTAATCATATTCAAAAACAGGGATAACCTTTCAAACAAATTATTAATGTCATTTTTCTATGAGATAAAAATTTGAAGATTTGATTATTATCCTTATGGATCCTTTGATCATCTATATTACTACTTAAAACTACCTACTTTAAACTATATACTATATTACTACTTACTTTAAACTATATACTATATTACTACGTACTTTAATCTATATACTGCTTAAAAAATTGCCAAAAAATTATTGCGAAAATTAATTTTGTATTAATAAAAATAATTTAATTCAAAATTAAAAAAATTTATCTAAATTAATCAAATCTAATACACAAGCATTGAGACTTTAAAATATCACCCATTTTTATTACTCTTTTAAAGCAACTTTTTAATTAATAAAAACTAATTGAAAATTTTTGAACATTAAATATTTAGCAATTATAGTTTAAAATATGTGTTGAAAGGCTATGTTTAAAATACACCCTAAATAACTTTTGATCTAATCGGATTTTCACGTTATAAGAGTCAATCTTAATGATTCGAGGGGGTGACCTCAAATATGCTAATTAATTAGGGCAGGCGATATTTTAAGTTACAAAATCAGACACAAAAACGTGTACGTTCTCTCAATAAACATATCTTTTTGTTCGACAGATTCAGATTTATGAGCCCAAAATTTAAGGGGTAGCCGAATTTAGGAAAATATGGTCCCAATAGTTTGCTTAGGAGAGCGGTCCGAAGTTTTAACCCCTTAATGTTAATCTTACTTTTTGTTTATTTCGCCATATCTCGAGAACTTTTTAAGCAAATTGAAAATTTACTGCACACAATTATAAAATTAATTTTTCCAAAGATAATTCCATACAAAAAATAGCCTTTAATATTTATTTATCATTTTTTATTATTTTATTTAATATAAATCGAAAAAATTCTGTTACAATTCTTAAATCAATTACATCAATGAAAAATTGCCAACATCATTATGAAGAATGTAATTTTGCATCACAAAATACAAAATAAAAGCGAAATCGGTTTAATAGATCCAAAGAAATCAAGTTTCAAAAAAGTCGTATTTTAAAAATTCGATTTATCAGGAACTATTCGATCGATTTTGCTCACATTTTGTATTTTGCCATTCAAAATTATGAATTAAGAAATGGTATACCTTACAATTCAAAAATTTTTCGACTATATATTAAATAGTATAGTAAGAAATGATAATTATATTCTCAAAATTATTTTCTGAATGGTATTATCTTTGGATAAATAAACTTTATAATTGTGTGCAAAAATGTTTCAATTCTCTTAAAAATTTCTGAAGATATGAATAAAGACACAAAAAGTAAAATTAAGATTAAGGGATCGAAATTTTGGACCGCTCTCTTGACCAATCTAATATATTTCCTAGACTACGGCCACCCTCCCTGTTCTAAGGGTCAAAAGTCCGAATCAGTCGGAAAAAGGTATCTTTATTCAGAAAAAGTACGTTTTTGTGACTGATTTCGTAACTTAAAATATCGTGTGCACTAATTAATTGACGTATTTGAGGTTACTCCTTCAAATTACGAATGAGTCCTAGAAGGTAAAGATCTAATTATTAGATCAAAAGTAATTCAGATTGGTCGGTTTTTTTTATTTTGAGCATTGTACACATTTAAAATTATTATATGAAACAAGGGGTAGCATAAATGTTGCGACAAACTCAGATTTAAAATTGCATAGGAACCCATGCAAGGAAATGTCTCCTCGTACACGGTTAGGAGCGCATCCGTACTATGACCTGATCAGAAGCAAACAGAGAAACAGTTTATCATAGAGAAGCGGCCCTAGCAGCGTATAATGACATTTCGAGTCATGGATTCCTGATCAGTTTTATTCCTGATGATGTGCCTAAGTTAGGAAGATTAAGTATTTGTTGAGCCAGGATAGCCTGGTTGGTAGGACGTTGGATTCGTGTTCATGAGAATGGGAGTAATAATCCCGTCGCCAGAAAAATCCGGATGTATTAAGCGGTGAGTTGCTTCCGATAAATCTTCCAGGTTCACAAAATCCTCCACGTTCCCATAACAAATCAATACCTCTGGCGGTACTGAATTGGAAATCGATTGTTCTTTTTTTCAGGTCAAAATTTCGATTTGTTGATGAAGGGAGTATAAGCGGGTTCTCCTTGTAAAAAGGGCTGTGACGTGTGTGTGGCCGAAGTCTTATACTTGGCCATATATAGCTCCACTGAAGAAAACAAGAAATGCATCCTCTGCCTTAAAAAATCTCTTGATTTCCAGAAGGGTTGATGATTGGCAAGTATCATAAATAACAACAAGTATTTCTGCACATCAAGTTGTAAGCTTCTCACAATATTTATGTGATTACGTATAAAGCTTTCTCAAACTTGTTCATTTCGCCAAAAAATGGAGTAAAATTATCATTTAATAAAAAAGAAGAGAAGGAAACCGATAGCAGATTTGAAATGAGATGAAAATTTATCCAAGACCTGTTTCACAAAAAATCTCTTGCAGCAGAAAACAAAATATAATTTGTTCTTCAATGATATTCGAACAATCTTGAAAAATTTTAATCTTTTTATAAAGTTTGACATTTTCTGGTTCCTAACCTTCTAAAATAAAACGAAGAAACATACATGTGAGGAAAAAAAGAAGTTAGAAATGGACGCAAATTTTCAGAATTTCACAAAAAGTAAGCATTTCATAACTTTAAAATTTACATTAATAATAATACAAAATCAGTATCTTCAGACAAACTGAGAAATGTTTCATCATTTTCACAAAATCTTAAATCTTAAGGTTCTTAAACTGTTTCTCCAGACCACAACTATATAGTAAAACCACCTCAGAAAAAGTAATATTTTCTACCTTATCAATTTGATTCCTGTTAATAAGGAACGTGGTATAGTCACAAGAAATTCTTCTCTTCTTATAGCATCCACAATTTGATTTGCTGCATCTTCCGTGGTTATAATAGGCATCAACCAACTACACCTGAAATGTTTATTTTTAATTTATCAGTTTAATCAATATTTTGTTATAAAAAGTCAAAGAAAACTAAGTTTTTTTTTTTTTTTTTTTGAAAATTTATCTTAAAAAGAAAAGCAATGCCTAAAAACAAATATCAGGAGAAAATATCTAAAAATATTGATGACTAATTAAAAAAATTGCGCATGAAGTGGGGATATATTTTTCAATACATCTCCTTAGTGCGCTACTTTTACACTTATATAAGACTATTGCACCTATTTTAAATTTATTACTTCACTTATATTTTACAAAACTTATTTAAATGACTACAAAAAATAGAATAGAAGGGTAAAAAACGAGCGTTTGTAAAGCGTTATTGCTCAGAAACTATTCTATCGATTTCATTCTTTTCTCTTCTTGTACTTTGTTATTTATAATTACATAATTTAAAATGATACAAAAATTTGAATGCCTTACAGTTGAAAAATTTTTCTATTATTTTTAAGCTTAATACTAAAATCAAATAAATATTTGTTAAAATAGATTTTTGCATGGAATTATTTCTGGAAAAAAATGGTTTCATATTCGAAAATAGAATAGAGTGTTAGAGATCTGGCAAAATACCCAAAAATTGAAATTAACATTAAGGGGGTCAAACTTTCGACCGATCCCCACACTAAGCAACTGGGATCATTTTCTCGCGGTTAAGGTTACACTAAATTTTTTTAGAAAGTCACACAATTTTTTTAGAAAGTTCACAAAAAAAAGATATTTTATTAAAAAAATTGATAGTTTTTGCTGTTGATTTCGCATTTTAAAATGTCGTCGGCCCTGACTAATTAAATATAGTTAATGTCAAATCCTTGAGCCACGAATATCACACCAAGATTACATGTTAGTACGTGAAAGTCCTATCATAAGATCAAAACTAACTCAGGCGTTCAGATTTTTTTGTTATCATATTTGTTTAAGGACTATAAAAAATGATAATTAATGGTTTGTTTAAGCTATTACCTTCAAATTATCATACTAAATTGTATGCAAATCTAATTGCAATGTTTTCCTTATGTTTAGAACAATAAATAATCTCAGCGAAAACTATATTTATCAAGGAAAACTTAATGAAATTTAAAAGCAAATATGGACAATAAAACTTATCAAACATATCTTTCAGCACTGCATTGTTTAAATTATGTTCATTTGTTCATGATTACAGCTTGATTTAATTACACTTAAATTCATATTTAACTAAATTTTCCTTAAGAATCCCTTTATTGAATCAATAATATAAGATTTAATAAAAAAATCTTCCTACATACTGTCGGAAAATATTTATGAAAATTGGTCTTAATACATTTTATTATGCAGTTTACTTTGAGTATTTTTTTAATGTATACTTATTGTGTTTTATGGCGTTATTATTTTAGAATTATAAATGATAAGGTGGGTTCCCTGAAAACGCTCCAAAATGTTCACCTCCTAGTGTTCGTAAATTGATTTTTTTTTTTAATCTTAAGAGAAGAGTGGAGCCTCTGGTTTTTATTCATTTTCTATTTTTCTAGTTTTTATTCAAGTTTTTATTCATATTTCTTAACAAACGTTTTTGTGTTAAATAAAATGTTTTGGAAACAAACATTTAATTTTAATGCAAATTATCTTACAACGGCACACCAACCGAATTTTTATTTCAATTTTCATAAAAATGAAAATTCGGATTAAATATGCTTCAGAAAATGGAGAATCTGATTGAAGAATTTTAGTTAAAGCAGTCATGACAGACATAATAAGAACGTTCTCTAAGTTTCTGGGAATCATAAATTTAATATTATTACAGTTATATCATGAATTTAATATCTTTTCTGTTGTATTTTGTTTTTGTGACATAATTCTTTTTAGAACGGTTATAAAATTTTTATCATTAAATATAATAATTAATATAAAGAAATTATGGCATCTTATGGATACTATGAGTTAAATTACCTGATTGAAAACTTCATTATCTTAAAAAATATATAAATATGAAATAACAGTCAGGATGTTTCAAGCACTCAAAAAACAGGCACTCCTTTTCAAAAAGTCTTGAAAAATGATGAATCAAGAAATATCTTAACACTTCTATTTCTTGAGTTATTTATTTAACATGAACTTACTTTTTCAAAAATTCGACAGCCAAATGATTATTTTAAATTAAAAAGTTGACGAAATTAGAAATGCGCTCCATTGATATCATGTCAAGGAACTCGTCCATATATAATAGTGATAACTTACTTTGTTGTTGGGTATTGATTCATTCCAGTCGCGACAGTCAAAGGGCAAACTGTCGTCATTTTGATATTGCTGTTTTTCTGCCGTAATTCTGCCATGAGCGCTTCCATCAAACCAACTACAGCATGCTTCGAAGCTCTGAAAATTTCAGAGAATTATTGCATTAATATAAAATCCTGTATAGAACGGAAAAGGGACTTTACGTAATACATACGAATAATCAACTTGGTTGATGTGCCCCACTAAACCAGCCCCTGATGCAATAGCAACAATATGGCCTCTGTTATTTTTCTCCATGCTCGGCAAAAAAGTTCGTATCGTCTGTAAAGAGAAAATAAAACAGTATTCTCTAGAGAGAAAAAGAAAAATGCTCTTTAAATCATCCTGCAGCATCAGCAATACTAAAAATTTCACGCACAAAGACTTCTTGATACTGATGTGATGATCGAACTTTAAATATGCTAATCAATTTATACAGACAACCTTTTAAACTATGAAATCAGACTCAAAAATATACCTTTTTTTTAATAAACATACATTTTCTTTCGACGGATTCGGTAATTCGACTCTCCAAATAAGTCGCAATCTGAAAAATATAGCCCAAATAATTCAGGCTGTGTAGGCCTTTTATTTTATTCTGCAACCGGCGCTGAACAGCCGACCCCACTTTTGAGTTTACAACTATCAATGTAGTAGCCTTGTAATTTTGAACTCAACCCTGAATCAAAAGGAACTTCTGGATCAAGCATTGGGACAAAGTTGCCTTCGTGGTGGAATTTTTGATAGAACCATCATGCACTTGCTTTACATGGAGAAAAAAAACCTCCCACGGTTAGCCCGACCCATGATCCGTCTAAGACTGAGGATATTTTTACTTCAGCACTTTGGTCGGTGCGAGCCGAGAGCAGAATTCGTATCAATCAGACGCAGCTGGGATTCGAATCTGGGTCACCTCGCTGGATGGCGAACGTTCTGTCCCCTGAGCCACGATGTTAATTGGTGCATTGTAATTCACATTCTTAATTTTACTTTCGTTCTCTTTTGCTATTTATCCGGAACTAATGAAGTGAATCGAAAATATTTTGCACACAATTATAAGACTAGCTGATCCAAAGATAATTTATAGCAAAGAATTTTTCAATTTTTCTTATTCAGTCTAATAATTATTAAAAAAATTGAATTGTTATGTGTGCACATTTTTCATGTCAATTTAATTTGCGTGAATTTAAATGGTAAAATTCAAAATTTGATCGAAACCGTTAGAATAGTTCTGTATAAATGGAAATTTAAAAATATGTCTTCCCTGAGGAAGTTAAGTGCGCAAAAATTGTAATCAAGATTTAGGGGCCAAAACTTTCCCCCGTATTGTATTGGATCCATACCATCCCTCTAAATTTTGAGCGTCGAAAAAAAATGCTTTTTTATTCAGAAAAATTGCGTTGTTGTGTCTGCTTTCATAACTTAAAATATCGTCTACATTAATTAATTAGGCCATTTAAGGTTAGGCTCCCGAACTATAAAGATTGAATTTCAGTATGAGAAAATCCGATCATTAGATGCAAAGTTATTAATTGTGTTTGCTTGTTTTATTTTTCTCATGTACATGTGTATTTTAGCTGTGTCCTTTATGTGTTAGTCGACAATGTTTAATTTTATCAATTACTAATATACAAAAATGAACTGGACAGTGTCCAGTTGCATTAATGTGCTTTATTTTATTTTATTTCATTGCATTTATTATCAAAAATGCTTATATTCTAAGGCAGTGTTTCCCAAACTTATGACTTTTGTGTACCGTTTCTTAATTTTTCGTAACGCTCTGTACCACTAATAAAAAAAATGAATATATTTTTTACTATAAAAAAATTGCCTAAAAGTTAAAAATCACAACTGGCTGTTAACACCACTAATTATTAACTGTTAACTGCAAAAAATAGCCAATAGAAAAATACGTAATTGTAAATTTTCATGGCTAGCTTTGTTTTTAAATGAAATTTTTTGAAATTTTCGTTTGTTGCAAGATATTTCGCATAAGAACGCGTACCCCCGCTAAATTGTTCCCGTACCCCTGGAGGTACGCGTACCACACTTTGGGAAACACTGTTCTAAGGGAATAAAAATTAAAAAAAATTTAGCTTATTTTTGCAGACAGATTTTTGAAATGTTTTTTTTCTTCTAACTTCCTGGTTGAAAACAAAATGTGACTTTGAATTAACTGGGATCATACTTTGTGCTGTAATCAGTGTATTCCATTGTCAGTGCATTATTTATTTATCAAATTTCAATCTTTTCATTGATAAAAAACTAAACCTATCCCCTAATTAAAAAGTAATACGAATTATTCAAGCGAACGTATTTTTCTAGATCGTTTCTGAAAATTTTGGTGATTTGTTTCAATTTTTATCGTACAAACATTCATTTTTAAAAAAATTTAATTTCATAACCAAAGAGAAATTCCTATCTAACTGCTTGTCACAAAGTCTCTTTATATAAAATTTACCTTAACTGGTGCAGAAATTTGTACAGATTATTTTTATTGCTCATTTTTAAAGGAAATCATGAAAGATCATTTAATTTTATGCCAATATTTCTTAAAACATAATAAGGACAATTTATTATGTTGTAAAATGACATCGTTTAACAGGAAGACAAATAAAATTTAATGAGGAATGTTTGAATGCTATGTTACTAATCATTTATTTGGCAAACTAAAGCTTTTTCTTCCTTATTGAAGACCATAACTCTATAAAAAAAATTCTAATTTGAATCGAAATATAACAATACGGAAAGGAAATGTGAATTTTTAAAGGGTTTATTGCATGTAATACAGTGATTTCTTAACTATGCTCTAGAAATTTTATGCTTCTCCAAGGAAAATCTAGCTGTTGATGTTGAAATATCAAAGAACTTACCATATTTCTGGCTTTATGGTAACACTAAAAAGCTCAGTACTTAGGTAATAGTTTTGATAAAATTAACCCTTAGCAGCTGATCGGACACCGGTGTTCGTTTTATATAGGCTTCTTCCTAATTGAACTATTTTCAATATTTGCCAAATACGATTCATTACAAAATTATGACAAAGTAATACTTTTTTTTCAGCCCATGCATAGTATAAAATTACTACTTTAGTAACTTATATATTGCACAGTTTTCTATATTTTTTTTCTAAGTTTAAAACAAAATATTTGCAATTAATTTTAAATTGCGCTGAAAATTCTGTTTAATTTTACTGATTTTTTTTTTAAAGTTATGACAAAAAAATAGTTTTCTGCATAAAAATGTTCATATACCCATAAATATTTAAGCTAGGATTACGAAATTTTGTGCAATTGCTTCACATAAGATTTAAATAACTGTCACATGTTTCAAATTTATTGTTATATTTTTTTGGCGTAGGGTGTTCAAAAACATTATTTTCCGTTTGTAATTTAATGTTGGTCACTCAAACCTTTTAAAGTTTTAAACACCATTGACATGGAGTTTAAAGCTTTAAAAGGTTTAAACTTTAAACCTTTTAAAGCTTTAAACTTCATTGTATGAAGAAATCAGGGCTAAGCATCATACTGACTTTTCAACTGTAAAATATAGCTGGGTTTTTTTCTTTAAGCACTTCTGCCTCGCTCGTTCCTAAACTAAAGTTTAATTTTTCCTCAGGTTACTAAAGATAGAACCACATAGATTTAAACAAATGATTCCAAATGATTGAACTGCAGCTGGACTTAATTACTTTGCTATTTATAATAATCAAATATATTCTATAAAGAAGAGTAAGTCCTTGAGAATTATCAAATTGATGATTATCAAAGAACGGATTAACTTTTTAAACAATTTTACATAAATATTATGATAATCAGACATCTCATTAGTCCTTCGTTTAATTCTAGTTATAGTTTTGTAATCAGTTATAAATGTTTCATAATCCAACATTGATATTTTTATTTACTAAATTATAAAAGTTAATTCTAAAGCTGTATATAAGATGTATCAATAGTTTATTATTAATCACTCTAACGCTATAAATTTAAATTATATAACCAAAATCAAAAAGTGCTTTATTTATTTGATTTAGTTTTTTTATAAATCCACACTTTTATAGAAATACTGTAGTGACAATATTCCTATAAAAGATAGCAATAATATTTTAATTGATACAAACAGGAATATTTTGAGCATTCATAAGTTAAGGAAGTTAAGTTTTTTGTTAACGCGAGAAAGAAAATGGATCCTGAAGCTTAACAGTCTTTGATATCAGAAACTTCAATAAGAAATTCTTAATTAAAGGTTATGATTATCCAATTAAAAATAGAAATTTAAAAAGAGCTACGACGAAAATATGAGTAATATTTTCAATACAAATATAAGCAAAAACAAATCTCGAGTCCTTTGTCATAGGTCAGAAAATTTACCGGTATTTTCAAACGGATAATTTTGTTTTCAATAAAGGAATTACATAATTTCTGGGATCAATTCTGTTGCATTTCATGAGATATTAATATTATTAAGTAATGCCGGTGAGTTTGTTGCGAAAATTTGTCTTAGCTATTTATAGATATATTGTTTAAAAAAAGGCGACGTGGTTGTCATATTTATAAGGAACTCGCTTTTATGGCAGTCCTGATTTGGACATCTTTTGGCTTGTTTATTACAATTTACTCTTATTTCAAGCAGAGTGCACCGTGCAGACGTATAGTGTTACATTTATAGATAAAGTGTAAGCATTTTGTTTGATGAGCGAGACTAAATTTATTTTGCGAATTATAATTCAAAACAGAGATCACACTCAACACAGTGAACAGTGAACACTCAGTACAGTGAACACTCAACACAGTGAACACTCATACGATGAGATAAATGGTCTCAAAATATAACTGATATAGTAACAATATGAGCAGTTAAGAAAATGCAGCAGCACTTCCTAGTGTAGAAACACCATCCATTAGATCAAAAGTTATTTATAGTGGATCCTTTTTTTTTCTTTGAAAACTTGCTATGTTTACTGAAATTTTCAAACTGAATCAAATATCAATTTAACTTACCCAAAAATGAGATAAGACATTGATCTCCATGGTTTGCTTTATCCTTACTGAGTCCAGCTCCATCATTGGTCGATTTTGCATAATTCCAGCATTGTTTATTAAAATCGTAACAGCTCCAACATCATTTTCAACAGCTTCTGCTGTTCTCTTCACATCACTTTCAGATGTTACANGTTAGATGAGCGAGACTAAATTTATTTTGTGAATTATAATTCAAAACAGAGATCACACTCAACCTAGTGAACACTCATACGTTGAGCCAAATGGCCTCAAAATACAACTGATATAGTAACAATATGGGCAGTTAAGAACCTGCAGCAGCATTTCCTAGTGTAGAAAACACCATCCATTAGATCAAAAGTTATTTATAGTGAATCCTTTTTTCTTTTTTTCTTTTTTTGAAAACTTGCTATGTTTACTGAAATTTTCAAACTGAATCAAACATCAGTTTAACTTACCCAAAAATGAGATAAGACATTGATCTCCATGGTTTGCTTTATCCTTACTGAGTCCAGCTCCATCATTGGTCGATTTTGCATAATTCCAGCATTGTTTATTAAAATCGTAACAGCTCCAACATCATTTTCAACAGCTTCTGCTGTTCTCTTCACATCACTTTCAGATGTTACATCACAAATGTACCAATATGCTTTTCCACCCATTTTCGTTATTTCTTCGCAAACATTTCTTACACTTTTCTGTAAAGGAATTTAAGTGCCTCATTAGAGATATGTTACTATCACGATAAGTCACGTTATTACGTTCTGCATGAACTTAGTGGATAACTGAGATTGTTATGATTGTTGATTAACGCGCAGAATGCTACGAAAAAATACAAAACCTTTTAATTGACGTTTTTCTCATTGACGTAGTATTCCGCGCGATCACGTTACATTGGTTCTGCAAAAACTTCGTGGATAACTCAAGACTGTTATGTAAGAACTTCGCCGCAGAAAGCCTGAGTAAGTGAAAGCGTGGAATACAACGATAAAATGTAAAACCTCATTATCGAAGTAGTTTTGTTTTTTCACCTAGTATTCCGCACGTTCACGCTACATGCAGTGTAAAATAGTTATAACTATTTATTGGTGTTTAGGTAAATTAAATAAATTTTTAAGAACAGAACTGTTGTTTTCGTGCAAAAATATATATTAAATTGGCAAAATAGTAATTGTATGAAAGTATTGATGCAAATATATCCCTAAAAATGTGTTTATTTTTTAACGAAATAATTTTTCAAATAAGCCAGAAATTTATTCTAATGAGCATGAAAGTATGTGCAGTCAGTAAGCAAACAATAAAACGTGAATAAATAAACAAATAAAACTACAACAGTGAAAAAATAAAATAAAAAATTTTAATACTGGTGTTGAGAAAAAATTTAGTTTACCTCAACACCAAAAGCTTTTACAGTGTACGTTCGATTGCTGCATAATAACTTACAGAACTTATGCAGAACCTAGCAACGTGAACTTCAGAGTAACTATATGAAAGTGTCCCGTATTGCAGTAAACGTTAACATTAATACAATAAAAAGTTATAATAATATAAATGTGTAAATAAATATATAGAGGGATAATAATAAATGGAAGGATAATAATATATAATAACAAATTTGAAAAATATATGAAATATTGTTACGGGTGTTTGTTAAATCATTTCTCTTTATTTAACATAAACGTGTACAATTCAAATTGTTTTTCGATAGTTTTTATATTAATTAAAAGTTGAATGGTAAACAACAGCTGCAACAAGTCAAATACTGTAAAGACTTTTAAACTTTCGTGCAAAAGACGAGTCACCTGCATCTTAAATTAATTTATTCAAAGCTATAGATTCACATAACAGATATTATTGACACATCACAGACAAACATTAACAAAGACAATACATTATCGAAAACCGCCATTCATCTCTTTTAGTTTCGACTCCCACTTTCTTTTGGAAACAAACAGAAACCTAAAAGAAAGTTTAGTGTGCCATCTAGTGGCCAGTTTCTTACAATACGTATGTTCGAAACTAGCGTCAAATAGTAGTTTGACACTATACATAATAAAACTGTTGTAAAACCATATCTTAAACCACTATGCTGCGTAATTGTCTCAAATATTGAAAATTAAATTTTCTTAAAATTTAAAATAAATTATCGATATCGAATTGGTAAATAATTATTTCTTTTTATGGTATGGTATTTACTTTTTCCTGTAAACAACAAATTAAAATAAAAGAGTTCGATAAAATAATGTATTTTTGAAATCACAAGATATTTTAATCAAAAAGCTCGAAATTATTAAGGAAATTACTTCAGATATGGATAAATTTAAAAAACCTTAATTGATGGCTATGGGCTAAGAAATAAGATAGTCATGAAAATTACGTGCCACTCAAACAAGTTACCTCAATCAATAGTTTTTGCTAAATGTTTTCAAATAGCACTATTTTGGATAACCTTGAAAAAGATGTAAATATTTTTCCACTGACATTTTCAATGTTTATCAGATGAATATAAAGATGGTAACGTATTATGAACAAAACCAAAAGAACAAAAAAGCTAAATCTGGAAACAATGCTCAGTAGAACGCAAAAAACGGGTCATGCATAACAAAAATAACAATGCGTGATTTGTTAATAATGAAAGTAGTGAAATTCTTCTTAAGAATATTCAAGCTAGAAACAAGATAGCGTTGACATTGAATTTTTACTACTTCAATTTCAGTTCGACTTTATTTTGAATATTTACTTCTTTTTAGTAAAAAGCCTATTGTTGAAACACGTTTCAAATAAATTCAATTCACTGCAATAAAACTAAACTCATAAATAGTTCAAAGTTACAAACACATATCAAAACTCGCTCGGCACTTTCAGAAAAGATAATTATTTTCTCAACAGCAATTATTTTAGTTATTTTCATATATTTTTCCAAATAATTGTTCCTCATTAGGCTGTGTTACCTTGTTTAGTATAGTTTATCCTTTTTTCAGGTGGTCACTTTTTTAAAATAAAAAATTTCATACTTGGTTGGAAATACTCTAGTACTGTTTGGGATACAATATAATATCACTAAAACACTACGAGGCTAAGATGATAAAAAGTTTAAAATTTTATTAAGATAAAAACAACAACTAAACAAAAAAATTATTGATACGCAAAAACTTATTTAAGCCAACTAATTAAAATAATTTTTTATATACACGGAGCTGAATAGCAGTTTTTTTTTCAATTTAAAACAAACAATGTTCAACTCCGTAGCCTAGTAATTTTGAACCCAATCCAGAAGACAAAGGAACTTATGGATCAAGCATTGGGACAAACTAGCCTTCTTGGAAAACTTTTTTATGGAAATAACTAACATTTTGCGTTACATGTAGAGCAGTGTTCCCAAACTTATGACTTTTGTGTACCCTTTCTAAATTTTTCGTAACGCTGTGTACCACTAACAAAAAAACGAATGTATTTTTTACTATAAAAAAATTGCCCAAACGTTAAAAATCACAACTGGCTGTTAACACCACTAATTATTAACTGTAAACTCTGCAAAAAAATAGCCAATAGAAAAATACGTAATCGTAAATTTTTCTGGCTAGCATTGTTTTTAAATTAAATTTCTTGAAATTTTCGTTTGTTGCAAGATATTTTGCATAAGAACGCGTACACCCACTAAACTGTTCCCGTACACCTGGGGGTACGCGTACCACACTTTAAGAAACACTGATGTAGAGGAAAGCAACGAAAACCTCTCACGGTTAGCCCCGCGGCAAGGAAATTCTAACCCATGATCCGTCTGCCACTGAGGAAATTTTAAGTCATCAGTGTGATTGGTGTAACCCGGAAGCAGAATTCGTATCAACCAGTCACCGCTGAGATTCGAACCTCGGTCATCTCATTAGGAAGCAAAATATGTAATATCTTCTTACGGAACATCATTCAAAATTGAAAGTAAATCCTTTGAGTACGCTACTATATTCCCCAGAGAATGCCAACCAGTTCGTCCCTTTGTTTTTTCAATAATAATTGTTACCTTTTAACTTGACAGCAGTAACCTACCTGCATGAATCACTATGTACATAAACTCACCATAACAGGTTTAAATAAATACATACAATTTATTCTCATCCATTTTTTATATTAGTTAACACCAAATAATTTAGTTCATCCACCAAATAATTCAGTTGAAATGGTCCGACATGCATTCGAAAAGAATAACTGGCTTTCTGGCTAGAATGCAGCAGACCGTACACTTCTACCTTCAGTTTTCTTTAAATAGATATTTCAAATCATCCGTCATTTTTGAGACACCGTTTTAGGACTTAAAATTGAAGCTGATTCGATCTATTTGCATACTAGTCTTTCAAAAACTAAGTAATTATGCCTAAAATGTTTGATATATATCTTTTGATACTTTTCATCAGAATAACATGAATTCTAATTATTTTATTGCATCTAACTTAATAAATACTTATTAATTTAAAATTTTAATAGGTCGTTACTAAATAAAAAACTCTTTTAATTTGCTTAAATACATTTTTAATGTTGCATTACAAAATTTCACCTTTATTTTATAACTAAAAAAGGTGCTTTAGTTGATTTGAATAAAAAAAAAATTATTGTAGACATTTTAAGAATGCCTTTGAATATTTACTGTAAAAATAACCAAAACTTTATTGAATTAAGGTTTTTATTGGTGTTTGTTGATAAAAGTCACAAAAGGTCTTAATATTAATTGTAAATTCAAAGAATTGTTTTATATTTTCAGAAGCAAAAAATTCATCTCAGATCTTAAAGATTTAAATCATAATTCAAAATAAAAATTTTGCATCGAAAAAAAAATATTGAAAATGACCTGAAATAAACTGGATAAGAAAATTATTTTCATCTTCACAATTTAACTCAGTTGCGAATGAAAAAAAAAATTATACAAATCGGGGTCTGATTTCAAATTTATGCCTACAGGTTGAGAATAAGAAAATTCCAATATTACAGGGCTTTATATTACATAAAAAGTAAAGAAAGACTAAACGGCAATAGTAAATTTATTGTTCTAAATTACAACTAACCATGTCTCGAAATCTCTAGATAATAAAAAAAACATTAGAAACCACCTGTCTCTACTTAAATAACTCATCTTCTGACATTGGTACAACAAAAAAGTGATGAGACGAGTTCTTATAAGGGGTTAAGAAAATAAAATATCGTAATATTTAAAAAATCATGGCCAGTTCCCACCCCTGAAGTTCAACGAAGGTCGAAAGATATAATTTGAAGGTGAATCATAAAAATAAGGGAGCTGAGAAGGTCGACCTAGTCGCAAATTGTTTGTGAAGTCGGGGATAACTCGCGCAGAGCGAGGCCAAAGAATAAATGTCAAGGTCTGTGTTCGTTGTATTCTAGGTCAGGATGTACTATGAATTCCCTAAAAATATCGTTTGTAGTCAAAAGTATTCGGGTCAAATTGTCGGGTCAAATAGAGGCTTATCGATAGTGAAATTTACCTACTTCTTTCCCCCCCCCCTCGCTGATGGAACTTTCTGACAACAAAATAAAAATAAAAAATCATAACGGCAGAAGATTATTTGACGCATTTATTAAGATGCACAACGTTATTGTGTTGGCCTAGCATACTTTTTTCAAAGTGATAAATGGATTTTAAAGCGCATTGTACACAAAGAGGACGTAATATGTGATTACAGTAATATTAAAT